ATATCTTAATGCCTATAGGGTTTGGGTCGGATTTGATAACTGATCTGTCAGACGTGGGTTGGGCTTGCACAGAAAAATCTGGCCCGATCCACACTCTAGCAGCCACAGACTGACAGAAGAGAGGCTTCCAGTCTGCACCATTGGCAATTCTAACCGTCACCAACTTGGCAATGTGGATGAAGAGTCTTCCTAAGGACACAACAGTAGTTTCCATAGATAATCCCAGCGGTCTCCCATCCAAGTACTAACCAGGCCCTGTCCGTCCAACAAGATTGGGCATTACTGGGACTATTAACAAGAAAAAAAGTCAAACTAAATCCCCTTATTCTTGATGTGAAAGTGCCTCTTAGCAGTGAATTTGTGAGCTACTTTCCAAAAAAGAAAAAAAGAAAAAAAAAACCCAAGGTTGCTAGAAGAAGCAGACTTGGCAACTCTGATCCAAACTAATGTAATCAATATGTCTTCATTAGTCTTTCAACGCACGTATTCATACATTTTTTAGTAGTTTTACAATTTTGTCATGATTTAGTCACTTGATAGGCCTATTTAGGTAACCATCAACTTTTCTTACATAAGTGTATTGCCCAAGAACACAACAAAAACTCTGATCTAAACCAGTGTAATCAATGCTTTCATTAGTCTTTAAAAGCTCATATTCATACTTTTTTTTCATAGTTTTATGATTTTGTCATTATTTAGTCAGTTGATAGGCCTATTCAGGGAACCATCAAGGTTACCATGAGTTACATACACGATGGAATAGAATTTGTTTCATCAGAGTTTGAATTTTATATGCTGTTGAACTTCTTACTTTGAACTTTTTAACTCTGAAAAAACATGTTTGAATCAATTGCTTCTGCCTTGACATCTTGGATCTTTGGTGCGAATTTTTTCACTGCGAATTTCACACTGAATTTTGACAGTCGAATCTCAAGGCTTGAAAAAATGTGCTGAATATTTAAAAGGTGAAATTTTATTTTGAATTTGAACGGGAGGAGCTTGGAGTAAGAGCTGCTGTTCCTTCACATTGACAGTAGTAGTTGAGGTGGCTCAGGCATCTGTTCCGGATTCCTCCTGGACGCCTTCCTCGCGAGGTATTCCGTGCATGTCCCACCAGTGAAAAGCCCCGGAGAACGCCTGACCCGGGAACACCTTAGGGTCCCCCCGGAAGAGCTGGAGGAAGTGTCTGTGGAGAGGGAAGTTTGGGACTTCCTGCTCAGACTAAATGCAACCGCGACCCAGCCCCAGATAAAGTGGAAGAAAATGGATGGATGAATTGGAAACATATTAAACAAGTATACTTACTAAAACTAAAATTCAGAATAAAAAAGTGAGAAATTGAACGGCATTAAAAATGTAAAACCTAATGGAACAAATGATCTTCCATAATACACACACTCCTCTTTTCTTACATAAATAGGTGAAGTCATTGCCCAAACAAACACACAACAACAGCATGGTCCGAACTTTCAAACCGGCGGTCACACTTTGTCAAGGCACTTCGTCCGCGCAGCTCCCACCTGCTCGGTCTTCATCACGGAAAACAAACTCGTCGACGGCCAGCTCTGCCCGTGCCCTCCGGTGTCACTCCCACTCACCACACTGCCAACCGCGAACTGCTAAATGCGAACCGCCAACGTCCACATGCCAAAACTGTGACTCTATTAGCGCGATTGGCCTTGGCCGCACAATACAAACAACGCGTCACACTTAGAAGACGTGACGCTGTGGGTGAACTCTGCGGTCGGCAGGATGGATAATAATAAAGTCTAGACGGAGCAAGTCGCAAAGGTCAAAGACAACTGCCCAGGGCCATCACAACATTCATTAGCGAGTAGCCTATGTACAGTAGAATGTGAACAATACTTATTAACTCCTGTGGGGCGAAGTAAACACTGGAAGACTTATGCATATAACGAATTTACATGACATAGTATTCCAGATTCAAATATAACTTACTGATAACAATTCTAATGCTGATTTATTCTTAACTACAGTGATGGATTTTAACAAAGTAAAAGTAGTAATGTAGTGTACTTAAGTAAATATGTAGGTCTGCCTGTCTGTACTTTACTAGAGTACATTTTTAGGTCAATACTTTTGACTTTTACTTCACTCAGTGGCGAAGTTAGCAATCTGGGGGCCCTAGATGAACTTGAGTATGGGGCCCTAACAAAAAAAAAAAAAAAAAAGTGTAATTTTCAACATTAAATCATAGTACTTTCTGTTTTTTTTGTTTTTGTTTTGTTATTTGTTGTTTTAATATATTTATTGTTCTTGAGACACGCACATCTCTATTTCAATTATGGTGGATTGGAAACTTGTCTTATTAGTTTGGTCATCTACTAGATAACCAGAATTTCAAAGTAGTTTTATTTCTTTATTAGTACAATTACATTTTTTGTTTACATCCATTACATATGATTATTATTATTTTACTTATGATTATTGTTTAAAAGTAAACTACTCTCATTTAACATCATATTGCAAGAAAATGTAATTGCTCTGAGGCCTCTGTCATTAGTGGCACTGAGGGCAATTGGTTGGGGGCCCCTCCAGGTTTGGGGGCCCTAAGCAGCCGCCTACTTTTGCCTAATGGTAGCGCCGCCTCTGACTTCACTACATCTGAGAGCAGGTATGTGTAGGCCTACTTTCTACTCTACTATGATTCTGAACAGGATTGAAAAGTAAAAGTTTTTTTTTTTTTAATGATTGTTTGTGACCTGCTGAAAAGGATGAGGGGTTATTTTAATCAATTTCATAATCTGAACAAACAAAAATATACAAAAAAATAAAAATAAAATCAGCACAAATCTGTATCAAAATAACTACAAGTCTTATAAGATAAAGGATTTTGCACAGTTTGATATCTTTAAGTACATTTTAAACAGGTCATTTAATACTTTTACTAGGGAAAATTTCTTTCATGAGATACTTTTACTTTCACTTGAGTATTTTTTTTTGGCTCTGGTATCTGTAATTTAACTTACATATTTACAAAATTGAGTATTTCTTCCACCACTGCTTATTTACAAAAACAATTTCTAAGGCTACCTAAAAGGAATCTCTATGATCTGACAAGTCAGATAAGTTTAATGCCATACTGTGGAACATCTCCATGGAGACCCTCTACCAGAGAAGTTGCATATTGCTCCTTCAAGGCATGGGTAGGTGTAGCCTGGTCATTATAAAGTTTATCAGTGAAACAAAATGGTCTAGTGAGAACAACAACTGTGTAATTTGGACTTGCTCTTGCTCACAGTATGGTTGCTAGGTAACAGTTATGGAATTATCTCTACGTATGTCATATCTGCTGTTTGTGTCCAAGCAGAAAGTACAATTATAAACATGAAAAAAAGTTGGAAAAAACAAGGCAAGATTTAAATTTTTTTGGGAAAATCGTAAAGGTCCTAATTAGTCAAAATTAAGTCTTGTGAGCTTTAAGTCATGTTGTGATGTTGTTTCCTCCTCAAAAACAGACCTGGAGTTGTGTTTTGTTTCATTCACACATGTTTGAATAATCCTTTATTATTAGTTTGTCTACATCTCCAAAGCTCAAAATGCTCTGTCCCACCTTATGATGTCATGAAGTGTGCTGGTGATAATTGATCTTATCTTGGTTTGTTTTGCAGAACCAAAAACCACTCAATTTCTGATTTTCTTTTTTTAAAATTCAAACTGTTAATGAAACTTAACTAGTTGCATTAACAGTTTGAATACAGTGGGTTTTTTTGTTGAAAAATGTGTTAAATTCATTCTACTCAAAATCTGAAACACTTCAAACTGGAAATCATAATGCCGTGGTTTCCACAGAGCACAAATTAATAGTTCATAAGCATTCTACACTGATCTCTCGACCTTCTTATGAATGTAATGTTTTATATTACGTTTTGATATTCAAACAGCTAATTGTATTTGAAAGTGATTGAGTAATGTGTTGTTTTATTACTTTTGCAGCCAGCTGGATTGCAACATTGAAAGTATGTAATTAAGTTTGCAAGAATATCACTATTATAGACATTAAGTTTAATCATGTATTCTAGATATAAACCAATTCAATGGTAACGCCATGACATTTATGCATACATTTAGTACATATTAATACTGCCTGCACATCATAAGTTCAATATAAAATGGTCACATCATTTTATTTAAAGTTTTCAGTGTGAAAAAGTCAAGCTCAAATCATATACATTAATAATGACTCCATTACCTAATTCAAATGTGAAAAAGCTACACAATTATATATAGAGCTTGTGAAAAAGTTACGCTCAAAAAACATACATTAATCATTAATCTTTTATGTGAATTTATTTTGAAACCAAAGCATTATTTTATTGCATGCAACCACTTTCCATATTTTTTTTTATTCAATTCAATTCTATTCAAGTTTATTTATGTCACACATTTAAAACAACTTCAGCTGACTGAAGTGTTTCACATGCAAGTCCACAAAACAGAAGAAACAGTTACATACATAAATATATACAGATAACATGTGAAAACTACAACTACTACGCAAATCCAGTGACCGTTTCGGTTTTTCTTTTCAGTGTAGTAGTTTCCACGTTAACAGCTCCTTTTACCTTTAGTTCAGTAGAGATTGGCAACTCCAGGTCTGACATAATCCATATCATTCTAGTGAAGATATATGAAGTTTAAAAACACAGTAGAGCACTTCCTGTATTATGAATTCATGACATCACAAGGGGGAACAGAGTCTTGTCAGTTTGAGAGAAGAACTCAGCCTAAATATGCAGGATTTGTGTGTTAAACATGCGTGAATGAAACAAAACACAACTAGAGATGTGTTTGTGATGAAGAAACATTATAACATAGATCAGAAAACAACATAATATGGGCCCTTTAAATAAAATGATGTGACTACAGTATGTTTTAGTGAAATGAACAGTCTATGCGACGCACTTTAAGCCAAAAAGTGTCAGCAGTGAAACACAAACCGCCTGCGTCATTGCATTATGTCATAAAACAGCTCTTACCTGCGCAAACAAACTGCTAATCCAGCTTGGTTTCCTTGAGGCGTTCAACTTTCGGCGGCGGACGTCTTCGGGAGCAGGGTCTGGATGGAGAGAGAGAGAGAGAAAAGAAGAAGAAAAAAAAAAAACAAACGTCAACAAATGAGCTACGTTTGCATCGTCGCTCACGTCCACAACAACGCGCAGCAATGCCGGCATAGACCCGTAGCATTGCAGCACCCCCAGCAGCACCCGCCGGCCCCTCCCCTCCCCTCGCCGCCGCTCTGCAAGGGGGAAGAAGTGACGAAGAGGAGGAGGTGGTAGCGGCGGTGGTGGGGAGGGGGGGTCGTTACTTGCATCACAATTGAAACGGATACCTCTTCCAATAAAGCGTTCGATCTTTTCACATCAAAACGTGCTATGAACTGTGAGGAAAATACAATGACGCGAGGTTTTGGTGATTAAACGGCGAACGGTGCTGTCCCCCAAAAGCAAAGCAATGTGGCGGTGTGGCGGAGGGGCTCATTTGCAGGCACGGGCCGGTCGCGGTTGGAGACAAAAGCGGTGGGGGTCTCGGAAAGGGGGGAGGAGGAGGAGGAGGTGTGGGCAGGAGGGCTCTGAGGGGGGGGGTTCCAGACAGACAGGCGAGGGGAGCGCTGCTGCAGAGGCCAGAACAGCACCAACTATGACGATGCTGATTCTAGAAAACGACAACGTGCAGGTCAGGTTCAGATTTTGAGGAAAAATCTATAGCGATGCATTGTTATTATGATTTGAGAGAAGTAAACAAAACTGTGGATACGCTTCTTTTTCCTCTTAAAATGCCTTGACAAGACTTAACCCAAAGAACGAAGATTTAAAAGTGCTTGGAACTGTAATTTCTTCATGTAATCTGCACTGAAATGGAGCAAATGATCATGGTCTATGTAGTTCTCTCTGATTTTTTTAGCTCATGGTTCACTATTAATGTAGATTCCTAGGACCTGGCTAGCCTGATTCCTCAGACGGTTTCACTTCGTAGAAACTGTGTGACCTCGCAGTGTTAGAATTCGTTAGCTCGACAATAGGCAGGTATTTTTTATCATTTAACCAATCGCTGCTATTTGGTCGTGACGTATGTAACGCGCCAGTAATGGGGCTAACTGGTATATTACAGTATTTTCCGGGCTATTAGGCGCTCTGGATTATAAGACGCACTGTCATTAAATGGTCTATTTTTGAACGTTTTTCACAAATAAACCGTACCGGACGTTAAAGGAAACAACAGTTGGATGGGTCAGTGGGACTTTGTTTGGCGCGTTCACGGTGACTCTGGGCTTTGTTCAGTTGTGGCGTGTAGGGAGGGTGCTGTCTGGGACCAACGGATTGTCGGCGTGTTCGCAGTGACTCAGTTGTTCAGTTGTGGCTAGAAAAGGCACATTGCACTCGCTTTTTTGGTTCGTTCCTCTGTTCCATTTCTTGTTTGCGCGGTCGCTGTCTGCTCCGTGTGTTTTTGCGTGTGCTGCGGTTGGTGTGTCTTTGTAGTTTACTGAAGTCGTGCTGGGACACCTGAGTGGATTCATGTATAGGGCTCTGGATTGTGGGGCGCAGTCGTTTTTGAAGGGGTTAGAGGCTTAAGAGCGCGTCTAATAGCCCGGAAAATATGGTAAGCTTTTCCCAAATCCCGTAGGAAGAAGAGCAATAACATCTTTCCCCTTGATAAAATTCACCAAACATTCTCTTTGTTCTGGCTTTAAATCCTCGATCTCAGGAATCATTGACAACACAGAATGTATGTCTCTTCTCTGATTGGCTGGAGCCCGAACTCTCAATTCCGGGGTTTTTGCGAACCGTCTAGTGTATTTTGATTCCTGATCTAGTCGCAGGAGAGAAATGAAATTGAGTGGAGGCACTAGGTGACGCCAGCCTGGTTAGAACCTGGCATCCTCACATGTGGACATACGTACAGGTTAGTGATGTAACAATATCCGATATTCAAACGCAACTTTTTCCTTTTAAAATGCCTTGACAAGACTTTGGTTCTGTCATAAACCTAAGAATTAAGATGCTTAAAAATGCTTAAAAATGATGGTTCTGATTATTAGTTGTATTACTTTTCATGTATTCTGCATTGTAGTGGAGCAAAGGATCATGGTATATGTAGTTCACTCAGTTTTTTTTTAGCTGTTACTGCACTAAAGCAATGAATTTAAGCAAAGAGTCTTGTAGTAGCAGTTTAACTCCACAGTTTGCCACTATAGCTGTGAGGGCTGTGTGGCTTTAGCTTGACTCACGTGTCTAAGATGAAAACGAAAAGATTCAATGTCCAAACTTACAGAATATTGGTTATGAGGTTTAATTAACAATGCAGATTCCATAAATGAAGATTGCACAATATATCCGGTTCACACGGTCAAAAAACACCCTACAGCTTCCACACAAAGAATAATCAGACCACATAAGACACCTGGCTATGGCTCCACCCCCAAGGCTCCACCCCCAAACACCTTGAACCAAATGTAGATCAAAAATGTCCGTAACAAGTCTTATAAGTCGATATATTGTGATGGTCCACTGTATTATTGTGAGACTTTTGACGATACGATACCTCAATATTTCAGTTATTGTCACATCCCTAGTAAATGTCCAACACATTTTGGGTTGTTCTGGGACTTAATAAATTGTTTTTACAAATCATTATTCCAATAAAGCCAATAAACCCATGCAAAAGTTTGAGTTCTAGGAGGTTGCAAAGAGACTTGTAATTCGATATATTGCAATGGTCCACGGTATTATTGTGAGATCTTTGACGATATTTCAGTGTTTGTTACATCCCTAATAATGGACAAAACTAAATATGAGCTGACAAAAGAATACAAGACTCACACTTCAGAACATGTTTGCGCAGATCTAAACTACAGGGTTAGCAGTTTTTTGTGCAGACTAAGACCGGAGATTTTATTGTTTGTGGAGGAAATTATGGTGTTTCGAAAAATTACAGCCTTTGTGATTTGCTAATTATGGCTGACCTGGCTCACCCCAGATTGATGTGTTTGTCACTCCGGAATGACTTCTACACATTTTTCAATCTGGAAAGGCTCTTGCTGAAAGAGATCGTTAAAATAAAGGAATGTCGTGGCGAATATTTGAATCTGATTGGTCAAAGCGTCACAAGAGCGGAACAAGCCAAAATATCAAACTTTTGTTACATCCAGGTGAAAACGAAAATAGGTTGAAGAATTTCTGCCATGTTTGTTTTGGTTCACTTTGGCTTTTCACCACCAAAATCACGCCAACCAGCTGCAGAGCCCAACTGAACCAACAGGAGCCAGGCCGAGATGGATTATGGTGAATTTGTAAACTCACAAACATCACAAGAATCCATTCCAATCCAAGAATCAATTCATTGTTATTTTGATTCAGGTAAGATTAATCTTGCAGCCTTGATTAACGATAACCTTGGGCAGAAAATTGGACTGTTGCAAGATCTGTGAGTTCATAAACTCAAGAGAATTCATCTTGAGGTGATCTCGCTGTACGGTGTTAAGTGGTTGGCCTAAATCACAGAGCTTCTATGGCAGGCAACTAATAATCGAAGAGTGACGGTGGACTCTTCTAATCGAACAGTCATGGAGGACTCTTAGAAGTACCTGGGAACTGTGTTTGATTCCTCCCTAAGGTTTGATAAGAACACTGAGCAAATGTTCAAACAAGGACAGCAGTGGGTTTACTTGATGCGGAAGCTCAGCTCTTTTAATGTGTCGTCTAACATTTTAAATAATTTTTATCGAAAGTTTGCTGACTTTTTCTTTTATTTGTTGGTTTTATGGGTGAAAGACGAGAACAGTCTGAACCAGAAAGTAAAAGTGTGTGACAAAACCAGTGGTGTTCAGATGGAGGATTTGGCCTCTGTGTGGCGACATCGGGTGCTCCAAAAGACTAAGGCCATACTGAGCCAGCCTGACCGTGTACTGCCCTCACAGTTTGTGCAAATGCCTTTTGGGAAGCGATGTGTCTAGCCAGGCTGGTGCCACCTAGTGCCTCTGCTCAATTTAATTTCTCTCCAGTGATTAGGTCTGGAATCAGAATACACTAGACGGTTCGCAAAAACCCAAGAAGTGCAACTTCGGGCACCAGCCAATCAGCAAAGAGTCATATATTCAGTGTTGTCAAGGATTTAAAGCCAGAACAAAGAGAATGTTTGGTGAATTTGATCAAGGGGAAAGACGTTATTGCGCATTATATATGTCATAACCAAATAGCAGAGATTGGTTAAATGATAAAAAGTACCTGCCTAACGTCGAGCGAATGAATTGTAACACTGCGAGGTCAGACGGTTTTTATGAAGTGAACCGAAGTGAAACCAGCTGATGAATCAGGCTAGTGATTGGCTAAAAAGATGGATAATATATAAAACTCAATTTAGAAAGATAGATTTAACAATCTGGTGTCGTGGCCCAGGTTAGATTAGCGGCACCAGCTAAACAAACAAATGAACTATGGTGAAAAATGTAACAATATAATATCAAACGGTACAACAGTGTCAGAGTTTTTCTGTTGAATACAGCAGCTCTGTGTCTGTAGTAACAGACTTGCTCTCGCTGGATTTGTAAAGCTTTGCACATTATTATTGGCCTGCTCAGTCTGCAGGCTTTTTCACACACACATTTCACCTTACTGTGATTCACCACACTTGTCAAAATGCTTCTATTGCTAATGCTGCATTTATTAAAAAAAAAACTATATAAACAAAAATATGCAATAACACACTGAAAAATTGTAGGCAAAACAATACAATTTAGATTCTCTTTTAAAGCTGCATTGTGTAACTTTTTATCAGAGACATTTCTCCATGGAGATGTTACTGCTTTAGAATGTTTCACAGTATGGTATTAAAACTTTCTATCTTCATGGAGACCAAGCTGGACCAAGTTACAAGTCAGATCTGTGGAAAGGCGACCCTGCTCACAGTCAGAATGATGTTTTTCTAGATATTTTTGAGCTATAAAACCACTTGCAATTGATTAAATGTAAAGTAGAGTTGTTTAATGTCATACTGTGGAACATTCCAGACAAAGCAATGCCATTTCCATAGAAACAAGCAGGTGAAAAGTTACATAGTGTA